TGTCCTGGAAAAGGCTCTGATGCAAAACTCAGGAATTTCGGTGAAGTCCTTCAATAAATAGGGGCATTCCTCCTCACGCACACCCCACAAACCTGAAATTTATGTGAAGTTCTCCAGAACCAGAGACATTCCTCGTCACACACACCCCACAAACATGAACTTTCGGCTAAGTCCTCCAGAACTAGACATTCCTTGTCACACGCCCCACGAACCTGAAACTGCGGCTCTCACAACCAGAAACATTCTTCCCATAGCCCCCGCAATCCAAATTCGGCTAAGTCCCTCACAGCAAGATACCCCCGCAAACCAATTTGCACAAGTCCTCTGACAGCCAGCCAGATATATCACACATTTCCCTTCCCCCCTCACCCAACCACGAACAAGTTTTATTCCCCCAGCTCCTGCCCCTGCAATTTCGTTTCCACCAATCATATTCATTTCACGCGCATTTTCGGTGAAACATCAGCCCTTCGCCACGTGGAACTTTACCAGTGTGACACCAAACCGTTGTTAGAATACGTGAATGGTTTACTAGAAGGGAAAACATGACACATATGGCAGTTGGGTTGTACTCACTAGGAGCACACACCGATATTAGCCTATAACTTCTACATGGATAAGATGTATGAGTTGACAACCGTACCAGTCACACACGCCCCTCGCGACTCGCACTAACAGAAAGGCCAATAGCCAAGCAGGGTGCACAAGAATTATCACTGACAGCACAGGCTTAGAATGTTTTTACCCTGCCAAATCAGACTCCGAGAAATTTTTACTCTAGCCATCAGGGTTTTTTTTTTTTTTTTGCCTACTCTGATTCCTAAGAGTGGCCTAAAACCAATTTATGGCCCTGGACGGGAGCAGATAGGACTCAGCGATGCCTCTCAACAACAGCTGGGAGCTCCCCCGGGCTCTAGAGAGCGCAGAGAAGAGCAGCACCCAGAACAAGCAGTGCCATGAGCAAGCGAGAGACAGTAGCAATCGTTCCTGCAAACAGAGAGAAACATGGGAAATTGTTAAGGAGAGGAAGCAAGCACTGGTAGTGGTAAATACAGGTGAAGGCTTACAAGAGGTGTAGAGAAGATATTGTGGTGTATACGCGGCGTAGGAATGTCATGTGATGATGATGCATTAAATGCGGTACTGATCATGCATAGGCACATGCTTACGAAACCACAGGGCCTTACCAGGGAGACTGTAGATATCGCTGGGGAAGATTATCCCATTGATATAGAAATAATCCATATCCTGCTGGTCAATCTTTGCAACAGCCCAAGCAGTGCCACTGGTGGCGTTCCTTGCAAGGGGGTCCGAGCCAGAAATGAACCCTTCCTTGGCATCGTTGCACTTGAAGTTCATCTTGTTGTTGAACGCGGTGTTGAAGGATGTGCTGGTGGCAGAGCACTGTAGAAAGTTAAAGTTCCAAGGGAGGGGTAAGAAAATTGTGTGTATACCGAACATGAAAGTAGGGCTGGTACTCGTGGCACTTTTAACCAAGTAGTAGTAAAGTAATGAGCGTTGGTGAAAAAAAAGATCAGACTCATTTGCGAACAAGTAGGCAACACAAGGAATCGGATAACGCACAAGCGCAAAGAGAGGGACACGAAAGCATGTGAGCACATTGGAGAACAATAAACAGCACAAGCATGGTTTAGAAGAGCACTAAAAGTAGTGAACTGTACCTGGGCACTCAAATCCGATTTTGAGACCCTCGATGTTGTCGCATGGAACGACATGAGGTTGAGCAGCGCGGTACGCCCGGCCTCGCTAAACGGAGAAGAGATGATCTTCGTATTGCACTTGTCCTTGCGATCCGTATAATCCTTCAATGTGTTGCCATTCATCTTATCCCCAATAAATTTTGACGTCGAGATTTTGTCGGTAGCGACGACGTCCAGCGCCTCATAAAGGCCACCGCTGTTCTTGCTTTTCGCGGCGTAGGCATCGCGCGCGTCGACCCACGCCTGGTTAGTCGGTAGGAAAATAGTCTGCGCGCCGGCCGGGAAGTTGCACATGCCGTTCACGAAATAGCGGAGCACGTCGAACGATCGGGACATGTCGCTGAAAGCGACCCCGCCCTTGATCTGAATGTCCGCGGCCCCGTCTTTCGGCGGGGAAGGCGCGCCCGGGGAAGCCGCAGGCGCATCGGCGGTTGAGGGGGAGGGTGCGGATGCGGCGGCCTGCAGAATCCGACGGCTCGCAGCCGCTGCAGCCGCCGTGTCCAGATCCAACGGCGATCCGAACGTCGCCGGAAGGGCAGCGGCCAGGAGGAGAATGGCTGCCGCGAGTGGGACGGTGTGGATTGCCATGGCAAAGGGCGGTAGTTTGATAGAATCAAACTAGTGAGTACTAGTGAGTAGTGCCGCTGTCTTAGAGGCGCGCGAGCCTCTACTAGATGGCCTTAGTCCTCTGAGAACGTCGGAACGAGAGGAGAGGAGACGAGAGGAGATGCGGCGGCCTGTTGTTGCTGAGAATGATGGTTGGGAGAGGAACGTGGGCAGTATTAGTAGTATTTTGGTGGTCTGGCAGATTGGTCGTTTGGTGGCTCGGTTGTTTGAAACGGAGCGAGGAGGGAGGGACAGGCTCGAACGCAGTACTGTGATACGACGATGCGACGACGATGCGACTGTGATGCGATGATGATGCGACGGCGATGCTACGGCGACGGCGATGCGGCGACGATGCCAGGAGGGACTTGCCGCGGCGGCGGCATCGTTGGTGTCCTCTCTTATAACATCCACCGGTTTATAACAACACCGGTTTATAAATGGTGGAAATACAACAAAATAGCACTCCTAAATTAGAACTAGGAGTAGGCTGGAACCTCAAAGAGAACTTGGAGATGACCACAAAATAGCCAAGATTTGGCTAAGTCCTTTGTGGTAGAGATAGCAGTTGGAGGACTTAGAGAGGAGGAGGATCCTTCTTCCAATATTGGATTATTGGGGAAGGAAAGTGAAGAATGAGCTCCAAGAGCCCTCCCACTTCCTAGACCCCTTGGGGTGCAACCACCTCCTCCATGGCCAAGGGGGTGGTGCACCAATTGTGGGCCTTGCCCATGTGGCATGGGTTGGGTTTTCCCAACCAAGGAATTTGTAGTGAGCTGGAATCAGTTTGCTCAGGTGTGCAAACTTATCTTGGGTTGCTAAATGTGCATTGGTTGGAATTGCAGCCAATAGGAACAATTGCTGCCCAACCCAAATCCAACCTGTCACTTGGTGATGGAGTGGTAACCACCACTCCAACCCTATCATCCAAACCTATCTTCCCAACCTTCAATCCCAACCCTATCCAAACCAACCCAACATTCCCAATATGTTCCCGCAACTTCGCGCGTAAGGGGAAACTAGGAACGTCCAGATTAGTCGCGATAGTTAGACTAGGAGGGACGGTTCGTATGGCGATATGTTACATCTCTCCCATGGGCCACTTGGTGCGCGCGCCGGGCGGTGCATGTGTGGGGGGCGAAGGAGGTGGGAGAGGAGGATGCGGGGAGTACTGAGTGTTAACGCCCATGGCCGACCGTGCAACCAGCGATAAGGCAGCGGCGGTGCGATAGTCGTGGGGCAGCGGAGCGGTCGTCCGTGCAACCAGTGATAAGGGAGCGGCGGCTGCGGCAGTCGCCCGTGCGACCAGCGGTGGCTACACATGAGCGGCCCTGATTCCAGCCGCCAGTAACGGGAGAGGGGAGCAGCAGCGATCGCCCATGCGACCAGTGATAAGGAGGAGGCGGTGGCAGAGAGAGGTCGTCCATGCGACCAGCGCCAGCGGCTACAGCAGTCCTACATCCAGCTGGCTGATCAAGGAGAACAGCCCAGATACTTAAAGCCCGCCGGGCAGGTTGCATATTTGTAATGTTTAGGTCGGTGGGGCGGCAGAACCTGATTGGACGATGAAGGATTATGGAAATGATATAGTTGGCGAAGGTTGGACTTCGCAGGGTCAGCGTCTGTTTCGCGCGAGCTAGCGGGGCTGGGCTGGAGCCTGGAAACTTGGCAGGGCTGCCAGTTTTGCAGCTCACAATCTGGCGGAGAGCCACCTCGCCACCTCTGCCAAGTTTGCAGGGCGAGAACTGTTTGACTGTTTCGATCACAACCAGCCGTTTGACCTGACCGGTTTCGGAAAAACAAACCGGATGTTGTTTGACGCATACACAGTTCGGCATGGTGCGACCCAAAACATACAAATCACATTTTTGTTTCGCGATTCCCACCCACACTGCAAAATACAAACCCTCCACCCAACCCGTCCCATTTTTTCCTCGAAGAACTTGGCAGGTTTGCAGTGCCAAGTTCGGAGAGGGCCCCAGGCCTGCCTAGTTGGAAATCTTTCGCGAGCATTTGGCAGTTTGATGCCAGCTGAGAGAAGAGGGCCTCAAGGTGCAGCAGCTTGAGATAAGAGGGCTTGCAACCTGCCGGTTGGGTTTTAAAGGGGAGCAACTTGTCATGGGGGGGACAGCCACCTGTACAGTCCGCTGGTTCGGAAAGTAGGGACGTGGGGAAAGGGGAAAGGAAAGCCGCCGATTGAAACCGCCCATACAGACTCTCGGCGGAAAGTATGTGACGAGGGGAAAAGGGGTGGGGGGAAGGGGATGGCGATGGGGCACGGGGAAAGTTGGTTTGGGGGAGGCGGGGGAATGGAGAGAATTGGCGATGTGGTGCGAAATCATAGTCCCCTTCGGAAACGTTTTCGCTGAATTTTGGGAGACTAAGGGCGTGTATCAAGTGTAAGTAAAAGGACGTTACCTGACGTCGCAACACGGTACAGTGCGTTCTATTTTGATCGGGAAGCTTCCTGTGCGTTCGGAAGCGGTGACTCGACGTCACAGGCTTGACATCGTGCTTCGGTATTCAGCTACTTGATACACCCCCTAAACGAACTCAACATTGTTTCGTCTTTCTCCTGATGGAATCTCTTCACAGTAGTGATCGAATGTCCGATAAGAGTTTGTTCGTCTCGTCTTCCTGCTTGGAGAAGAGTTTGTTCACCTCATCTGCTTTCAGTTTAGTCCAAATTTTTTACATGTTTCTAACTCCTTACAATGGGGCAACAATAAAGCAGAGGGACACACAGTGACAACAGTGACTTCGGGATGACTTTTAATCACAGAGATAACCAAAGAAGCTAAAATATATTACCTAGCCCTGTGAAGTCAACCCTAGTGGCCATAGCTATCACTTGGTCACTTCTTGCAGAACAGTGTGTTATGATACTGTAGTAGCTTTCAATCGAAGACACGTCAAGCAATCTCTGATTGCTTCGGGCGCACAACAATAACAGGGCAGGAGGCGTGGTTGACACAGTAGTCCGATACACTTCCGAGCACAAGCCTGGAGGGGGGAAAGATTGGAGTAGGGGAGGATGAGGGACTTCACTCAGTCTCTGATTGCTCTCGCCGCACGACAGTAACGGGCATAAAGCATGGGTGACAGCATGGGTGCATTATTCGCCTCTCTTCATCTCCTGTCACCGCACTGAACCTCACCTCTTCACCGCACTGAGCCCTCTTGAACCCATCACGAGCGTGTGCGCCTTTATCCTCTCCACCTCGCTGCAGATGCGCTCCCTGGGGTCCGCATCCTGCACTGCCACTATGTCGTACTGCACCTGGGGACCAGTGGTTGAGAGGGATGGGTGAGAGGGAGATGGCACTTGCTGTCTCCACCACCTCGCTGCAGATGCGCTCCCTGGGGTCTGTGTCCTGCACTGCCACTATGTCGTACTGCACCTGATGGTTGGATGGAAAGGGGGAGTGGAAAGGGGTTGGGTTGGGTTGGGCTGGATTTTGTGCGATTCATCCCTTACATCCCATCCCTGGGGTCTGCGTCCTGCACTGCCACTATGTCGTACTGCACCTGGTGGCAGAAGAGGGGGATTGCAGGGAGGAGAAACAATGGGATTGGATTCGGGTGAGAAAGTTGCCAGCTGTCAATCGCTGGGGGCCGCACCCTGCACTGCCACAATGTCGCGTGATAAGAGTCTAGTCTTGAGGCGCCTCAAAACTGTGCACTGCCACTATGTCGCACTGCACCTGGTGTTGTTTGGGGAGCAGATGGAGTGTGTGGGGGGGGTGTTGGGGAAGGGAGAGGAGGTGGGAGAACTCAATTTGGGCTGTTGGGAGGGGTTGGGGTGGAACAACGGGGGAGGGAGAAAACATCTTGGGCTGCTGGAGAGGGGGTGGGGTGGAGCAAGGGCGGAGGGCAGGTAAAGTTGGCAGGAGAAAGGGTTTGCTGCATCCTGCACTGCCACTATACCGTACTGAACCTGCTCTACACCGTAAGGTGTAGCGGACCCCTTCTCCACTCTACCGTACTGAACCTGCTCTGTACAGTACGGTATAGCGGATCCCGTCTCCGCAATACCGTACTGAACCTGCTCTATACCATAATGAACCTGCTCTATACCGTACTGAACCTGCTCTATACCATATGGTATAGTGGATCCCTTCTCCACTATACCGTACTGAACCTGCTCTATACCGTACGGAACCTGCTATTTGTATGGTTGTCCAGAAGAAGAGGGGCCAGGAGGGGTTCAGGGGGGGTGGTTGGGGGGGGAGGGGACGGGACAGGTTGCTAACAGTTCTCCTCCTTGCACCAGCATAGACCCACTCACCTCAACACACCTCAACACACACACGCATGCACGCACACACGCACGCACGCATTTACCTTAACCGTCTTTACCTTAGCCTGGTCCAGCTGCCGTGACAGGCTGCTAACGAGTCTCCTCCTCACTGCGGCATTAGGCTTCTCCAGTGCAAGTTGAACAGCATCCCAACAACCTTCACCTCTGCCCGGTCCACCTGCTGCAACCGGTTGCTCAAGAATCTCTGCCTCACACCAGCCGTTACCCACTCATTCAACAGCGTTACCCACTCATGCAACAGCCAGCGTTGTGCTTCCTAGTAGCAAGTACGGAAGCACATTAACAGTCTTTACCATAGCCTGGTCCAGCTGCTGCGACAGGTTGCTCACGAATCTCCTCCTCGTGCCAGCGGTTACCCACTCACTTAACAGCCGTCACACACTCTCACACGATGATTGGTACCATAATAGCCGGTACCTTAGCCTGGTCCAGCTGCTGCGACAGGTTGCTCACGAATCTCCTCCTCACACCGGCGTTGTGCTTCTCTATCACCCGGTCCACCTCTGCCATCGCCTCTGCTGACACCGTTGAGTCAGCATAAGCTGGAGGGAGGGAGGGAGGGAGGGAGGGAGAGAAATGGGGGTGAGAGAAAGAGGGAGTGACCAGTGCGTGGCCTTCCCTCTCTCAATCAGACGGTCTCCTTCTGCCATCGCCTCTGCTGACGCTGTTGAGTCAGCATACGCTGCGAGAGAGAGATATACAGTCGGGGGAGTGAGGCACATAAAATGAGGCGAAACATGACAACGCGCTTCTCAATCACCCGGTCCACCTCTGTCATTGCCGCTGCTGACACCGTTGGGTCCGCATAGGCTGGAGGGGGAGGGATGGGGTGAGGTGGAGGAGGGGGGGGTGGTTGCGGGCACACTACAAGACCAGAGCCTAGAGTCATGTTTCTCACGCCACCGTTGTGTTTCTCGATCTCCCCGTCCACCTCTGCCATTGCCTCTGCTGCCACCGTTGAGTCGGCATAGGCTGGAGGGGGAGAGAGATGGGGGGGAGGGGGGGTTGGTTGGGCCGCACAGGAAGAGATCTAAGAGACCAGAGCCTAGAGAGATGTTCCTCACACCAGCGTTGTGCTTCCCAATCACCCGCTCCACCTCTGCCGTTGCCTCTGCTGAGACTGCTGAGTCTGAATAGGCCGGGGGGAGGGAAGCGGGGGGGGGGGGGGGGGGCGGGCATAGGAAGGGACTTCAAGCCATGTTTCTCACGCCAGCATTGTGCTTGTCAATCACCCGATCCACCTCTGCCATCGGCTCTGCTGACACTGCTGAGTCTGCATAGGCTGGACAGAGAGAGAGGGACAGACGAAGCGGTAACAAGTAGCGTGTCTAAGTAATGAACGACAAGCGCCTAATACCCGGTTCTCTCAACACCAGTCCACCCACTTCTGCCATCGCCTCTGCTGACACTCTTGAGCCGGCTTAGGCTGGAGAGAGAGGAAGGGTATAAGGCGCGTTAAGGAAAGTATGAGGCATAAAATATCACCAACGTACCACCCTAGAGGCTGAGACATGGCTTTAACAGGAGAATGAAGGCATCTGCAAAGAGGCCGGGTCCGGATTCTACTATGTGTCGCACATGCAGCAGAGTGACTCGGTCGGATGGGCAGACGTGATTCTTGAATCAAGTCGGCCCTGATCTAGGAGTACCACCGCCATGCAAACCTACCTGCGAAGAGCCCTGGCCCGGATTCGACTATGGGGTGCCCGTGCAGCAGAGTGACTCGGTCGGATGGGCGGGTGTGGTTCTTGATGCAAGCAGGCCCTGAGCTATGCGCAGCACCAGAGTGTGAACATACCTGCAAACAGCCCGGGTCCGGATTCCACTATGGGGCGCACATTCAGCAGGGTGACTCGGTCAGATGGGCGGATGTGGTTCTTGAGGGCCCACGCCACTGCTTTTTCACTGGTGAGGGAAGCATGGGGAGCAGGATGGGTTGTAGGGGAGTTGACGAAGGTTGAGACAATCAGGCAGAAGGGGTGAGTAGGTCGGATGGACGGATGTGGTTCTTGAGGGCCCACGCCACTGCCTTCTCACTGGTGAGGGAGACAGGGTGAGGGGAAGGGACGTGAGGATGGAAGGTAAGGAGAGAATAATAGTGCCTCGACCGCAAGGGCGGATGTGGCTCTTGAGAGCCCACTACACTGTTGTCTCGCTGGTGAGGGAGGAGGTGCATGGGTCCGCGGGGACGGTACGCGAGCAGAAGTCACAGGAAGGGAACAAGAGTGCCTGGGTCAGATGGATGGGCGGATGAGGCTCTTGGGGGCCCACGCCACTGCCTTGTCGCCGGTAGGGGGAACATGGGGATTGGAGCGAGCAAGAGCAGGGCGGGAAAGTAGGGACGAGCACGGGAACAGTACAAGCGTGACTTGGTCGGATGGAAAACGTGGTCAGGATCAGAAGAACGAGAAGGTCAAAGCGGCAGAGGGAATGGAGTGGTCATCCTAGCCTGGCGTGAGCACTGAGCACATATGCTGGAGTGTACGTTCATGAGGAGGGTATACGGTAATTCAAAGGCTCTACGGCGCGGCTCAAAGGAGCACATACATCAGAAAGTACGTTCGTGAGGGCTTATACGTTCATGGCGTCAAACGAAGGCTCAAAGCACTGCTTACCTGTCAGGGCTGGGGTCCACGGCGATCAGAATGTTCCTGGATGGAGCCGGCTTAGTGGGCGGCATGCTGACGACTCGGTTTAGTGGGCTCGGTACTCGGTTGGCAGACAGGGCTTTACTGTAACCCGGCCGGCCCTGGCGTGACCCGGACACTGTAATGCAGGGGTGCTCGATTGAATAGTCACTATGGTGGGCTCTGTACTCGGTAGGGGATCACAGGGAAAGTGGTGTAACACGGTGGTTGAAAGTGTGACTGTTTCAGGTTGGAAATTCGCCTCTTAAAAGCTCCAGGATGGTTTCAAACGGCAGCAGAAGCAGCCTTGAGTCGCAAGTAGCAGAATTGAGTCGCAGCACCAAGGAGATCGTAAACGTAGGCGGAATGTCAAGGATCCCGGACGCTTTGCTGTTGATGGGCCGAAATTTCAGAGAGAGGGGTGGAGGGGGAGAGGGATGGGGGGAAGGGGGTGGGAGGAGAAAAAGGAGAGGAAGCATGCAGAGACTTGAACATGTGCACATTCTGTGATGTAGAAGATATGGAAATGCAGGGATGCAGAATTTTTAGGCGGCTCAAGAGGCGAAGCTTGTAGAGGTATCATGAACGCATGTAGAGGTATCATGAACGCATGTAGAGGTATCATGAACGCATGTAGAGGTATCATGAACGCATGTAGGGGTATCATGAACGCATGTACAAGCGGATCCGCAGGAAGGGAAAAGGAAACGCAAGGATGTGGGAGATATGGAAAGTCAGTGAGTGTCATTCCTCTGAGAATAGCGTACATACTACGTCGCGTGACGTCCGGATATCTTACGACGTCTCTACCCAAAGTCACCTCGTTACAATGTGACGCGACACAGGGTGCTGAATCATTTTGCTTGTACAGCTCACGCTTCCAGGCGGCTCAAGGCACATCCAGAATCCCGAGCGCTAAACTACGGGTGGGAGAAAGAAAAGCAGCGGAACGACGAGGGAACGCGAGTTGGACAGGATGAAACGTACGCTTCCACGACAGAGCCGGATTCGCCTGGAGGGACGTAACGGCGAGAAGTCTTCCGAAATGAACGGCAGAATGCTAAATACAGAGAGAAATGCTGTCAACAAAAGAGCTAGTGGCGAACTTTGAAAGAACCTCAATGCATAGAGAGCAAAGCTTGTGCGAATGGCTGAGTCTTGCTGGGCTAGCGTGCCAAGGACTGGTCTGTTCTGCTCTGGGCTGGGCAGGTCTTGTAGTGCTTTGCACTCAAATCAAGGCGTGCCTCTCTGTGGTGTGCAGTGCACAGCCATGTGCCTCTCCTGAATCCTCGATGTTGCCTTGCTGGTGGTGGTTGGCCAATCACAGGGACTGAAAGGCTTTCTTCGCAAAATAACGGACTGTGTATCCCGATGCGAAGTCCTCGCGACGGCTTCGCGAAGAGTTCTGCTGCTGACGTGCCTCCCTGCCAGAGATATTTCCGCCTAGCTATACCCCACTGACTCAGCATGAGAAAGAGGATTTCGGGCTTTCGAGTAGATGCGTAACATAATAACTGAAGAAAATCCAACCTATACCTACTAGAATCTACATTCTTTAGACCATCAAGGGCGAGGAGGAATAGGGGGGCAGCTGCACATGAGGGAAGCAACCATAGAGGAATTAAGATAGAGACGCTAAATAATAATAAATTGCATGAACCCTTCACTCGTAATTCTTGCCATGGCTGCTAGAACAACCAATATCTAACCAACCACAGGATAGGACCCACCCACGTGGTGAAAGTCTTGGTGCACGTTACATTCATCCAAGCCCAGGGTAATGGGAGTTCTGTATTTCATTTATAAGCATCTCCTTTTCCTCCTCAAAGTCTTCCTCCTCTGCGTGCGAAAGAAGCAAGGAATCGAGAGTGGAGGACACAGATGGGATGAAGCACCGGGTGAGAAGAGGAGGAAAGTGGAAAGTAAAAAGAGGGGGGTGGGGGAGTGGGGAGAGGGTGGGGAGAGGGTGGGGACCAACAGATGAAAAGAAACAATCCACATCAAAGACAAGTGGATGTAGCATTCTGGAATCTTACCATTCGCTTTATGCTTCTCAGTGTCTCAGGATGCACACCTTATTCTTTCAGGAATTTGACCATCTTGACCTTGCTGCAAGCCAGCAGCTTCACTACCCTATTAGGCTTCATGGGATTGGCCACAAAGATCGAAAGCATGTAGAATTCTTGAGTTACACTATCCCTTGAGTTACTCCACGCACCTTTGTCGATCTCGAAGTCTTTGAGGAATTTGACCATCTTGTCCTTGTTGCGAGCCAACAGCTTCACAATCTTCTCAGGCTTTCTTGGGTTCGCAACAAAGATCTGCACAGGGTGTCGGTGCCATGGGAGATGTTGCGGAAGGGCGACTTTATATGTATATGTATAACTCGACGTGGCAGTGGCATGTGGTACAGCAACAAATGGATGCAGCACGCAGTGATGCAGCAGAGCAGGGGCCATGCAGGAACGAGCAAGCCTGCTCAGTACTCACTCAGTCGGTAACGGAACAATTCCCAGAATGCAGTGATAAAGGCGATGACAGATCCAGAAATAATTGCTAGACAGCAGCAAAAAGAGCCAAGGAAGCAACAGGAAACGAGTTTAGCCAGGGAGATGGGAAAGGAGTGTAGTTTTGAGGCGCCTCAAAACTGAAACCAGTGCTGGAGTGTTCCGTTTCAGCCAAGGAGTTGGGAAAGGGGATGAAACTGAGTTCAGTGAACGCTCATATGGGGCTTAATCTGGGAGGGGCACCTTAAATACGTGGAAGGCCTCGTATTGGATGGCTCTGCTGGGGTCCTGATGGTGTATGGGGTGAAACAATGGATGGGGGGATGATGGAAGGTAAAAGGGGATGCATGGCCCTGCAACTCTCTACATACTGGAAGGCCTCGTATTGGATATCACTGCTGGGGTCCTGATGGTATATGGGGTGAGGCAGACAGTGGATGGGGGGGTGATATGATAGTACATGGGGCACGGTAGTGGTTGGGGCGGAGTGGAAATATGAGGTGGCGTAAAGGACGTGAAGGTTGATGCGGTATGATGGTGCAAGGGGCACAGGGTGGATGGGTGAGTGGGCTTTCGAGATGGGTAGTGGTTGATGGGATGGTGCATGGCGTATGATGGTGCATGGCGTATGATGGTGCATGGAGTATGATGGTGCATGGGGTATGATGTTGCATGGGAGATGATGGTGCATGGGATATGATGGTGCATGGGATATGATGGTGCATGGGATATGATTGTGCATGGGATATGATGGTGCATGGGATATGATTGTGCATGGGATATGATGGTGCATGCTTAGGGCACGGTGGAACATAGGGCAGAAGAGCAAGCAATGAGATGTCACAATGAAATAAGAAGTGTCACACTTCTTGCCAGCACTAGCATGACAAAAGACACGCGATAACTACTTTGATAAAGGCTTGCCCAAGTGGATTGTGCTGTGCGGCAAAAGTATTGTCATCAGCAGCAGCAGTTCTCGCCTAGTAGCTGAGCATGGGTGGTAATTTGATTTATTAAACCGCATCATCACTTGCATGTTGGTTTGGTCTAACAGCTGGCACCTAGCAGCTCCGCATGGGTGTTAAATGACATTACCTTGATGAGGGTCATCATGATCTTGAAGTTGTGCGCCTCTGCAATGTACCGCATCATCACTTGCATGTTCGCCCGATCTAGCAGCAGCTCCCCTAGCAGCTGAGGCGGCCATAAATACAGGGAACGCGTGGAATGGGGAAGCAAAAGAAGAGTCCAATGAAAGGGGCCTAAAAAGGAAGAGAGAGAGGGCTATGGGTCACAGCGCACACACACGTACCCATCCACACACATGCACACACACGTACCACCCACACACATGCACGCACACTCCCTCACCTTGATGGCCTGCCTTCGTGCGACATATTTGTCAGAGTTGAGAAGTAATTCGACACGTACGTAACACACCTTGATCAATCCCACTCACTCACCTTGACACCATGCACTAACACACCTTGATCAATCCCACTCACTCACCTTGACACCATACACTAACACACCTTGATCAATCCCACTCACTCACCTTGACACCATACACTAACACACCTTGATCAATCCCACTCACTCACCTTGACACCATGCACTAACACACCTTGATCAATCCCACTCACTCACCTTGAAACCATGCACTAACACACCTTGATGGCCTGCCTTCGTGTGACATAGTTGTCGGAGTTGAGAAGCAAGTCAAAGCGCTTGAAGAACTGAGGCAAGGCATGGGTGGCACCAATGGCCGTGCCATAGCATTGTAACGCGGATGCAGGGAAGAAAGGATGGGGAGGAGAGGTGACTCTTGAGGCGCCAAAAAAGTTGCGGCAAGAACTGAGGCAGCGCCTCCCAAAGGGCTTGAAGAACAGCAGGCAGGGGTGGCCGTGCCATAAAATAGTAACGCGGATGCAGGGAAGAGCAGGAAGGGGGTTGTGGGGGAGGGATGGGGGGGGAGCTTGTTAAAGACACACAGAGATTCAAAGGGTTGATGGAGCAGGATAGATAGATGCACAGGAAAAAGGGAATTGAGGTCATAGAGAGCAAAACGGTGGGCTCTGAAAAAGCATGATGAAATGTAGGTGGGGGATGGCTGGGTGACAGCTAGGGATGAAATGATGGATATGATAATCAAGTGTGCCATGAGGAATGGCATAAAGTGTCCAATGACGAATGACACCAAGTGTGCCATGAGGAATGGCATAAAGTGTGCCATGAGGGTCACGCTTTGCGGAATGCTGCTGCCACAAAAGGGTGAGATTTCGCTGTGAGACGTCTCAAACCAAAAGGGTGATGTCGCTACAGTCAAAACTTCCCTCCCTCCCTCTCCCCCCCTCTCTCCCCCCCCCAGTACATGGTCGGTACAAGCCCAACGCATCCCTCAAGACCCCAACCCACATACATCGTCAAAGTGCTCCATGAGGAACTCGGCTGCCACAGAAGGGTGCCGCTTCAAGAGGTCCTTCTCGTGGGGAGCACGGGATGGCAGGGGGGTGACGTGAGGGAGACAAGACTGAGAGCTTTGTTGAGAGCTTTGTTGAGAGCTTTGTTGAGAGCTTTGTTGAGAGCTCCAAGAGGTCCTGTTATGTGGAGGGGAACATTCGGTGACGTCTGAGGCGATGTCAAAGTCTTGTGGGTCGCAGCCTGCTTTTGCCACCATTGCATGCAGTTGGTAGGTTGCTGCTGGGCATCAATCCAGCTAAGGGCATCAGCTGGTGGGCTCACCTTGAGAGAGAGGAACGCATCTGATGCGATGTCAAAGTCTTGTAGGTCGCAGCCCCCCATGATGATGTCAAGATTGGAGAACTGTAATGTGTGGCTGGAAATGAGAGAAGAAAGGTAGGGAGGAGGAGGAGGAGAGGGGAGGGAGGGGGGCGGGGCGGGGGGGGGGTGGGTGTGGGTATTGTGTCAATACCATCATGGGTACTGTGTCAATTCTGAAGGTCCTGCCGGTCGCATCTCCCCATGATGATGTCGAGGCTAGAGAACTGCAATGTGTGTGGGAGGATTTTGGCAGGTTCAATTGCAGCCTTCCAACAGGTTACACGTCTTATCCTGCGTTTTCAAATCTCTAGCAGACAAGCTCGAGCCAGTGTGGCACAGCACGCTTGTTTCTTGCCTCACTCTTGCTTCTCTAACAAATCGTCCCATGCCTCTTCGCCTGTTTAACAACTTTACTTGAGCATAGAATCCCTCTTATCACTCTTAACCCCCTCGTACCTCACAGGGCTTCCCTCCAACGGCTGTTTCTTCCCATCAAACACCCCTTCGTTTCTCCCTACTTCGAGCCATGTATGTTTGGGCGTTTCAGCGCAAGTACCCTTCGACCCGACCAGCATTGCTCCATTCCTTACAAGCATTCCTTCTTTTCCATTCCTTACAAGCATTCCTTCTTTTCCATTCCTTACAAGCATTCCTTCTTTTCCCTACCTCACAAGCTTGGGCGAGCCATATACGTTTGGGCGTTTCGTTTCAGTGCAAGTACCCCTCTCTACCTGACCAGCATTTTTCCATCCATTCCTTAGAAGCATTCCGTCGTCCCTACCTCACAAGCTTGGGCGAGCGCAGGCATTCTCGTAGCATGAGGCCGGAGTTCTGTGCGATGTCCTTCTGCTTGTAGCTGGTGGGGGACGGGGGGAGGGTGGGAGGAAGTTGGCATGATAGATGTGCTATG